CTTTTTTTTTTTTTTTTTGCATTTTATTTGCAAGATTGCAATTATTCTTTGTTTATTTTGCACAATAGTTTATATGTTGGAAATTGATTCATGTTTTCAAAGGAAAAGAAACAAAGTTTTGGAGTAAATCGATAGGACCCAATTCACTCCCCTCTTGGGTAGCTAGCTAGGTTTACATAAAGGATCCATTAAGAATGAATTTCCAAGAGATATAATCTTCTTTAAAGGGATTGGTAAGTGCAAGATAGAAAAGAATAGTAGATTCAAGTGAAGGTGGGAAGTGACAGTGAAGTTCCTCATATGTAAATAAGGCAACAATGGCTTCAATAATTGGGTAAAAGGAATGTTCAACAAGGAAAGGACCTTGTACATTTTTATTAATAGGACCAAAAGAGAGCCAATGATTATGATGAAATTAACTTGATTGCCTTTGTTGATGTTCCATGATATTCCTTCAAGGAAGGATATGTAATTTTTTTCATGGCTTTCCAAATGTGGGAATAATGGTTAATAGATCTTTGGAAGGAATATTTAGCATGGAGTAGTTTTATCCAGTAGTAGTGCGGCAAAGTGAAGAAACACCAAATAAGTTTAAGAATAGAGGCTTTGTTAAGCTTCTTACACTTTTGAATATCTAACTCGTCATGTTCACTAGGTAAGCAGATAGTGTCCTAGCTTATGAGGTAAAGTTTGTGCTTGTTAGGTTCATTATGCTAGAGAAAATCACGAATGAGTTTATTTAGAGAATTGCATATGCTTGTAGGAAGAGAGTTGCATTGCATAACATGTAGAGGAATAGTACATAGGGTTGTGTTAACTAAGGTAAGTTTTCCTGCAAGTGATAAAAGTTTAACTTTCTAACCTAAGAGCTCCCACTTGGCCTTATCTATGATAAATTCAAAATGAGATTTTGTAGGCTTGTTAGACAGAATGGGAAAACTGAGGTATTTACCTATACTAGTGGCTTTCTTAAGGCCCAAAATAGAGCAAATCGAGTTGCTAGTTTCAAAACAAATATTTGGTGAGAAAATAATTTTAGATTTTTTAGTGGATGGATTGTCTTGAGGACTTGCAAAAGCAATCCAAGACTTCTCTAATGGCTAAAGTAGTGGAGACTTTTTCTTTTCCAAATAGAAAAATGTCATCCACGAATAGGATATGTGAAAAGGAATGTCCATTTTTGGATGCCTTAAGAGGTTTCCATCATCCCAATTGACATTTTTGTTCAATAAGAAAGGAGAGATATTCCATACATAGGATAAATATGTATGGGGAAAATGGGTCACCTTGATGAATTCCATAGGATTGAAAAACTTTTGTAGAGAGTGAGCCATTAATGGAGACAGAGGTTGATGTGGTACATATACATAACATGCTCATTTTGCACCAAAGGTTCAAAAATCGAAAATGGTTGAGACAATTTTTAATGAAATCCCATTCAAGGCTATCAAAAGCCTTATTGAGGTTAATTTTGATGGTCGTATCACCAACTTGTCCCTTTTTTATGCATGGTTGAGACAATTTCTTTAGTAATGATGGCATTATTAATAGCAAGCCAGCCTAGAATGAAGTTAGATTAAAGGGGGCTAATTAAGTGATTAAAGAAGGGTTTAAGCCTAATGATGAAAAGCTTGGAGCAAAGTTTGTAAATGGTGTTACATAAATTCATGGG